CCTGGAACAGTCGCTATTTTCTCGCCTAGTCCGGCTCGGGGTTCCAACTGTCAACCTTGATCAACAGGGACGTGCTCGTCCCTCGATCGCGAAACTCTATCAATGGCGGTACCCCAAGCTGGATAATTTGCCACATGTGCAGAACCAAACCGAATTTCTCAGAGGCAATGCTGGCTTCAAGTTTGATTACCAGTTTATCAACGTGCCCGACTACAAGGGCCGTGGGGAATCAGAACCGACACCACATTTCATTCAAAACTTGGGCGAGGCAGAGTATGCAGTTGCCATCTATCAGTACATGCGCTTGCTAGGATACCCTGCGGATAAGATAAGCATCCTCACAACCTACGCCGGGCAACGAGCTCTGGTCAAGGATGTTCTTGCTCACAGATGTGCCAAGAACCCCATTTTCGGTCTTCCCAAGGCTGTTGCCACGGTGGACAAGTACCAAGGCGAACAAAATGATTGTAAGTTTAGAATGAATGCATGAATCCCGTGCCGGCCCCAGGTACTGCTCCTACCTGTACTAATCTCCCATGGCAGACATCATACTGTCCCTGACCAGAACGTCGCGGGTGGGTTACTTGCGCGATGTCCGGCGTATGACGGTTGCGGTTTCTCGTGCCAGACTTGGATTGTATATTCTTGGTCGCAGGGAAGTGTTTGAGGCGTGCCCCGAGCTTCGACCTGCATTTGATCTCCTCCTGGAGCGGCCGGACAAGTTGATGCTTGTAACAGGAGAGATGTGGCCGACGGAGAGACCGAACTTGGAGGATAACTCGACTGTGGAAGGCGAAGTGGCTATGGAAAATGTCGAGCATTTAGGACAATATGTGTTTGAGATGACAAACACCAGGCTTGAACAATTGCAGGCGCAGGGAGGAGAATCTGCTACGACTGCCCCAGAAACTATTCCTGAAGAGGCAGAGGAAGATGAAGCACCAGCCACATACTATGATGAAGATGAAAATGAAGTGGAGCCAGATATTCTGGAGGTTCGCGAAGGCGAAAACAAGAACTAGTTGTTGAGATTTGGGCGTAAACCGAGGTCTGATATTTGGCAGAGCATTTGCAATCTGAGTGCAAACTGGGATAATTGACAAGATGGATTGACGTGTCATGTTCCTTGTACCCTTGACTGCGTGCTTGTACCTGACACTATAAGTGATCAAGGTGAGTGAGCTCGAGCTGACTACGCATTATCATCAATACGCCAGACGGCGCGCTCTCCTGCGTGAAGGGTACGGTACGTCAAGGTTTCCACTCCACCGGCACTGGCATGGATGATCTGCATGAGCCTCGTGGTGTAAAGGAGGGTGATGATCAATCCGCGATTAGCCAATGCCAATTTTGGGGTCTAGCCTCAGATGTCCAGCTCGTCAGCTCGTCAGCTCGCCAGGGTCTTGTGAACCCGCAATGTCACTGCGTAGCGGGCATGCCTAGTACATGCAAACTTGAGAATGAGCCCCCCCTTTGCAGATGCCAGTTGAGTGGACGGATGACTGTGATTCACCCATCCCTTATGCCTTGCAAGACGCAGGCCAAGGCAGCCAACGAGCTCATGAAGAGGGTAGGGCGGGTGGGTGTGTCTGTCACACGCTCCGTCAAGGAACTGTTCAAAGGGGACGGGCCGGTGTTCTGGGGGGTTCGAGCACCCGCTCCTGAAGCAATCTGCCCGAGCATTTGATTGGACAGCCCTTTACTGACTGGAAGCAGGAAATGTGTGTACCGGGGCGCCAACTCCGTCTGTATGTTATGTATGATGTCGTTGACGCCGGTGCACGTGTGAGATGGCTGCTGTCGGGAGAGAGTCTTCCATGACACAAGGCTGTCCCGAAACTACGGAGTTGGCAAGGACGACTCGGTGCGCTCTTGCTTGGATTGATTGGGTGATGGGAATGCGGGATGCGATGGCATTTGCTGGCTAGCGTCTTGCTAGAAGGGCTGACCTATGTTGCTAACTTGATAGGGTTGAATGGTTTGCGCCTGCTCCGGAGAAGCAGACGCCAAACAGAGCGAACACGACATCACATGACATCGTTCCCGTGGTGGGCAGCATGTCGTTTTTGCTTATTGACTTTACCTGGTCTTTTGTTTACCCCCTTTAGGAGGACTTAAACACTACCCAGGTAGGTATGCTGTATTTTCTTCTTTTCACCACGGCAAGTACGATGAGCAGGATCCGTTGAATGTTGCTCTTTCTTCGGGCCGAGCACTTTCTTTTCTTTTTCTCACGTCACGGTGCCTTTGCACGATGCAGGTGTGTCTTGGGGCTACCTAAGTTTAGGACATCATCATTGGGTTTACGGGTTCAATGTTGGGACTGGCGAGACTAATAAGTGACAGTTGGATGGATAGCACAACCTTAATTTAGGAGACGCATAAAGAAAGCCACTCTGCTTTTCTTATAATTTTTGGTATTATACTATTTTGATGGAAGAGTCAAATCAAAGTTTCATGGCTACCTAGGTAGGTATTTGGAGCAACTCTGGCATCGAAACTCTGCTGTTGGACGGCGCGCCAAGCACAAAGCCGGCAACGGCCACAGGTGACAGAACCATACCGGCGTGTCTTACTAAGAGACGCGAGCGTGTCGCGAACAACTTGGCTGTTGCATCAGAGGCAAGAAGGCATGGGCTTGGGTTGGTTTAGGCTTCGGCCAACCAAGGAAACCTGGGGGCCTGAGGTCTGAGGTCTGAGGTCTGAGGTCGAGGTCTGAGACCAGGCGTGGAACGTGTCCAGCCTCGAGTTACGTACTGCTACTGTTACTGTACGTTGCCATCCTCATTGTTAGGTCAATAGGTCAGCTTATCGTGGGAGCTCTGGCCCAGACAGTGGAACGCAAATTGAAGTGGTTGCAGGACCCACTCAACCACTTTTTGTCGCGGCAACATTTGCGGAGGTTGACATGCCTCGACGAGAACAAGGGCGAGGACGAGGCAAGCGGCAAGTTGGCTCCAAGCGCATAACTGGGTAGGGGGTACGGAGGAGGCAGTGACAGGATTTCCCTTGGAGTTGTACGGAGTATTTCGTGTCCAGCTCCCACCCAAGCGTCGAACCATTGACGAATCATGTCTCGCCGTGTTGCGGAATAGTCTAATATAAATACTTTGTATACGGAGTACGTACTCCGTAGTAGTTGCTTCCATTTGTGTCCTGTTCGCCTGTGCGACGTGGGCAATGACCTATTATTTACTGTTTGCTTCATGTCGCGGCCCACATCACAGCAGACACATCGCACACTTGCGCACTTGAGCACTCTGGAGACGGCGCCGGAGTGACGTTCTGTGGTACTCGGTACTAGTAGTTATCTGGAAACAAGAAATAAGCCTCTGACTCTGTACTTGCAGAGATACGTATGACTCATCACTAGGCACTGTGAGCGAGTGAAGACCTGATGACTGAATCAAATAGCCTGGCTCTGACAGCTGAGAAGACTGTCCATGATGTGCTGCATAACGGTAAAGCCGTGCCAAGTCTCCTGGCCGTACTCCGCAATTATTATACAACAGAGCATGGAGTATGCGCACCGGTCCAGCAACGGCATCAGCAGAAGGAAACACGCCACAATTCTTTTGCAGAAACATCCAAACCCACACTACGGGAGTAGGCTTCATGCTTTGTGCAAACCTTGGTACCTGCGTGCCTAGGTGCGCGAGAGATGACGATGCGGCATTGAACCCTCATCGCACCGTGGAAGCGACCAACGGGCTGGTTGGTTTGAGCATGTGCTTGCGTTCAATAGCTAGCGTCCTGGAAGAAGAGACTCGGCCAAATCGACAATATCTGGTGCTGGCCTTGGTTTATCAAGTTCACAAAGTTGTTTGGACTGCTTGCTAAAAAAGTTACTCTCTGGTGGCGCGGCGCGAGAGAGCAAACCAGTAGTGTTGAGTGACGGCCACTTGGCGTCAGTGTATCCTGCGTCAAAAATGACCAGAATGCCGCACTGTATGAGCGGGCGACACGCGTGAGTATGTATACAGTGTGCGCAAAAGCAGTCTTGTCACACACGACGGGCTCGGCCCATCGAGGCTAGCCTCCTGAAGGTGTGTCGCACCGGTCACTGTATCAACTATCGACACATTGTGTCTGGTGGTGCTTCAGTGTCAATGGTGCGCTGGGGCACAGCCCTGGAGCGCTATGGACAGTCCCGACCAGGCGCTTCCCTGCCCCAAGCCGGCCGCCTCCAGTGGACGTTGAGTGCCATGACCACGGGCCACGGGCCACGGGCCAGCGGCCGCCAGCACTGAGACCAGTTAGTTGAGTTGTCGCGGCAGGGGACATGATTGATGGACGGTCCCGGCTCTTTCCCCTTCCGCCCATCTGAGGCTCCATGTCCCATGCGCTCCCATGGTCTCCCGCGTTTCCCAGCCAGGCTCGCATACTAGTACTAGTACTAATATCCTGCTGCCCAAAATTTTCTTGCGGAACCTCCTCCCAAACCCTCACCACTCCAACCAAAACACCACCGTCTGGTCTAGGTGGATTATTTTCCTCACCAGACCCTTTTCTCCCCTCTCCCCTCTGTTGGTATTGGGTTCTTCTTCTGTGTCTCGCTTGCCAGAAGACTAATAGTCCCTCTGCTCAGATCCAGCATCCCGTCCTCGCCCTCCGCCGTGCTCCTCGTGCCTCGCGACGCCTGCGGTCCGCGCTTGGTCGGCTTTTTTTTTTCCACTCCTTGACCCTTTTTCTTCTGGCCTGCTTTGGGAATTTGTCTTTCTCCAAACCGCCATCAGTTGCCAGCTCTTTATTTAATCATTTTCGCGTGCCTTTCTCGGCGACCTGTTCGTCTTCTTCTTCAACAGCAAACCTGGTTTTTTTTTGGGCTGCTTTGGAGTCGAGTCCACCACACTTCGAGAGCGAGCTGCGAGACTCCATAAAAAAGTTTCTCGACCACAATCCGCCGCCCTCTTTAATTTCGGCATCTGTCCCATCGGCCTTCCGCATCAACAACAGCCTTCTCGTCAATCCTCTTGCGATCCGACAAGACTGCTCCCCTTATGACGTCGCCTGCGAATCAGCAGAACCCGATCCCGGCGCCCAATACCTTCGCGACCACGGCGACTTCTTATGCCTCCGCTGCAGGTGCGCCTAAGAAAGCTGCTCAACCGTCCCAAGTCGCAACTGGTTCCCAACCTCCTGTCGTGGTTGGTTCTTCTTCTGCCTCTCTGGCACAGAATGCGAACACCTCCTCGTCATCTTCTGTGAACGGCAAACCCGCCGTCGCCCCTGCTGTCCCTGCTGTTGCCCGCGGTAGCTCTACCAACGGCTCCGGCGTGGACCACTCGAGAAAAGTTTCCGTCACCATGGCTGCCAACGGCCCCAACTCCTACGCGGCCAATGGTGGTGCCAAATCTGGCATTCAGTTTGGCTTCGATTCGCCTGCCATGGCACACAGCACTCCTCATACTGCCAACGCTGCCCCTATCCCTATTCCTGGAGCTGGCAACCATCGCGTGCCTTCGCCCGCCCACTCTCCGTCTCCGATTCCCCAGCCATCTGCCAGCGGTGGTCGACCTCCTTCCGGTCTCCCGGGCAGTGGCCAGATGACATTTGGCAGTCTCAGTAGCGATGGCGAGGTAAGAAAAAGAAGAGTTGGAAAAGAGTAGACTGCTCTGGTCCTTCACTGTTCCCACATCTCAACTTCCCCCCTTGGCACCCCAAGCTCTAAGCACACAAGGCATCGCTAACTTCTGTCTCTCGTAGCGCCACATGAGACAGGGCTCTGTCCCTCCTAACCCGAATGCAATGGGATCGCAGCCCGGAGCCCATTATAGACGCGAGTCGAGCCACTCTGTCCAGGGTGATAACCGAGCCAACTTCCCTCCTCAAGGCGGCCGTGGCCGAGGATTCAATCCTCACAACCAGTACAACAATCAGATGGGATACCCTCCCAACAACCAGTTTAGAAACGGTCCCGGCCAGGGCCGTGGAATGCCTCCGTCATTCCAGCCTCAGCCGCGCAACATGCCGTATCCCAACTCTCCCCAGCCGGCCCGAAGCCCTGCTCTCGTCCCGTCGATGCCGAATACTCCCAATATGCCTCCTGCGACGATGCAGCCGAATATGACCATGGGTACACCTCCTCAGTACCATTATCCGCCTCCAATGGCACCTCAGCATCAACAAGTACAGCCCCCTCTCCCCGACGTGTCTGATAAGTTGCATTTCAAGTCTTTCAAGAAGAGCAAGGCTCGCCGCGACCACGCCAAGTCCCTGCAGTCAGGGCGCCTATTGGACTCTATACGCGAGCTACGCGGAAGCGACCCTAGTCAGCCTCAACGCCGTTTCCAGCAGCGGCCAGAGCAACAGTGGCGTGACCGTGATATTGGTAGCAGTCGAAGTGAAGTGTCCGGTGGCGACGTTAGGTCGGCAGTGCAATACCACAATCATCATCTCCATCATCATGCTCCTCCACCTCTGCCCAAGTTTGCCCCTCAAGACGCATCTTCTCTTGATTTATCTCCCGAAAGTGGTGGATTTGAACTTTGGCTGACTATGAAGCATCAGAACTATGGTTATCCTCCGCAGCAGATGGATCAGTACGGCCGACCCATGTCCATGCCATATGCCTACAACAACGTTCCGCCGTACATGGGCCCTCCCCAAACTAACCCTCCAGCGTATAACCAGCAGTTTGCGCCTCCCTATGCTCCCCAACAAAGCCACAGCATGTCTCGCACCCCGTCGCAACCCGAGCGACCTTCCAGCGCCAACCAGCAAGGCCAACCCCTCGTCGTCGGCTCATCGCAGCCTCCCAACTCTCAGGGTAAACCTGGACCCAACAACTTTGTCAAGCCTAGGAAGAGCGCGGCTATTCAGATCAAGAATGCCGCTGGTGAAGTTGTGGATACGTCAACTTTCAAGCAACCCGTTTCCCCTGCTCCCACTGGTCAGCAGTCGAAAACTCCTCCTGTTGTGGCCTCAACTCCTACTCCTCCCCCCAAATCATCCACACCTGCTGCCCATGGTCGCTCTGAGAGCACGGCTACCCCCAAGACGGCCAAGGAGATTCAGGATGAGTTGAAGGAGAAGATTAAGCAAGCTACACAGGGAGCTGCCGCTAATGAAGCCAAGAACAAGGAGCAGGCTGTCGCTACTACAACCAAGGCGCCAGCCGACGGCTCTGCCGAGAAAGACGCTGCCGCTGCCTCTACTGGTACTCCCAAGGTCGAGGCTCCTAAGAAAACTGACAAAGTTGAGGAGCCAAACAAGGCTGAAGAAGAGAAGCCGCCCGCTGAGCCTGTCGCAGACAATGGCGACACGGAAGAGGATGAAATTGAGCGCATGATTCGGGAAATGGAAGAGGCCGATGCCAAACGCGAGAAAGAAGAAGAAGAGCACCGTAAGCGGGTTGAAGCCGAAAAGGCTGAACAAAAGAAGAAGGATGAAGAAAATCGCAAGTCCAGCGCTGCCGATGAAGACCGCAGACTCCGGGAGCAGGAACGCGAGATGGAACGCCTGGAGGAAGAAAAGGAGCGACGTCAAAAGGAGGCTGAAGCCTCTGGCAAGACAATGTCAGTTGCAGAGGCCCTTGCTGCTGCCCGAAGTGTCAGGGACGGCGACGCCGCCAATGTCGACTCTGTTACCGACAAACTGTCTGGCATGAAGATTGCCGAAGAGAAGGCTACTGGCGATGCCGCTGGTCAGAAACGCTCAGCCAAGCCTGCCGCCCTCAACCTAACACCTCTCAACACCAAGCCCGTCGATCCTCCTCAGCCCAGTGCAGCTCTTCAGTCCCTCAAGTCCTCTCGGTTCCTGCAGGTCATGGATCAGGAGATTTACCCGACTGGCATCAACTCCCCGAACCCTGCATTGAACGCCGCTGTCGCTAAGAAGGGCAAGAGCTTCAAGTATGACGCTGCTTTCCTGCTGCAGTTCCAAAAGGTCTTCACCGAGCAACCCTCTGTAGAGTTCCACCAGCAGGTCAAGTCCCTAATCGGAGACGGTGACCGTTCTGCCCGCGCCCAGACGCCTAGACAGCCTTCTAACCGCGGCAGCAACACCTTCTCCATGGGGACGTTCAACGCTCCTCCAGGCCGCACGTTGCCGTCAGGTACTACCTCCGAGCAGCGCATGGCCATGTCCAGTGGCACCATGCCTCGACCCCCCGTTGGCTCAATTGGATCATTCCGAGGCCCTGGTGGTGGGTTCCCAGGCACCGCCATGTCTCGTACCTCATCACAGTCTAGAGCCGCTGGCCCCAACTCGCCCAGTGGCCGCCAGTCTAGCCGCTCTACCCGCGGTAGCCGACGTGATTTCAACACCAAGGAAGCCCAGGCTGCTAAGACCATGCCCCTAACCGCTGGTCAGGAGATCAAACCGATTGCCATCACTTCCAACGGTTGGAAGCCGACCAGTGTTGGCAACAAGCCTTCTGCGTCTGCTCCTGCTGCCAATGCCAGCGGTTACCTTGACCCTGAATTGGTGCAGAGAAAAGTCAAGGCCGCCCTCAACAAGATGACCCCGGAGAACTTTGACAGAATCGCCGACCAGATCCTCACGATTGCCGGGCAATCCAAGGATGAGTCTGATGGCCGCACTCTCCGTCAAGTCATTCAGCTTACCTTTGAAAAGGCCACTGATGAAGCGCACTGGGCCTCCATGTACGCCAAGTTCTGCAAGCGTATGCTTGAGAACATGAGCGCAGACGTTCGCGACGAACGCATCAAGGATAAAAATGGCAACGTTGTCAGTGGTGGCAATTTGTTCAGGAAGTACCTTCTCAACAGATGCCAGGAAGAGTTTGAGAGTGGCTGGAGCTCTAATTTGCCTCAACTTAAGGAGGAAGAGGGTGCAGAGGACAGCTCCAAGAAGACGCTTGGTGACGCAGCTATGCTGTCTGATGAATACTACGAAGCTGCCGCCGCCAAGCGACGTGGTCTTGGTCTTGTCCAGTTCATCGGTGAGCTGTACAAGCTCGGCATGTTGACTGAGCGTATCATGCACGAATGTGTTCACAAACTTGTCGACTATAAGGGTGTCCCTGATGAGGCCGAAATTGAGTCCCTCAGCAAGCTGTTGCGCACCATTGGTGCCAATTTGGATGCCACCGAAAAGGGCCGTCCCATGATGGACGCTTACTTCCAACGCATTCAGAACATGGCTGAGCTTCCTGAGCTGCAGAGCAGAATGAAGTTTATGCTTATGGATGTTCTTGATTTGCGTAGGGCCAACTGGGTCTCCAAGGAAGCCAACAAGGGCCCCAAGACTCTCGATGAAGTGCGTGCCGAAGCCGAAGCCCAGGCTGCCAAGGCCCAAGAGTCCGCTCGAACCAACTCTCGTGGCGGTCCTGGTCGCCCTGCCATGGGCCGTGGTGACGCTCGCAACTTTTCTGGCGGCTATGTGCAGCAAACCAGCAACCAGGTTGGCATGGACGACCTCCGACGTCTCAAGGGCTCTGCTAGCAGAACCGCCAGCCAGAACGTCACCCTTGGTCCATCCTCTATGTTTGCTTCCCGTAGTAACAGTGGCCGACGTCTCGGACCGGGAGGCTCCCTGGGTCGTCCTGGTGAAGACTCTGGAGCATCGTCTCGAACTGGGACTCCTCCCAATCGTGATAGCACCTCCAACACGAACGCATTCAGGTGAGAAGAGGATCCTGCCCATCTCTTGTACTGTGAGACTAATATGCTAATCTGACAATAGCCTACTCGCGAATATGGTAGATGCCGAACACCCCGCCTCACCTCCATCCGCAGGACCCTCTCCTCTTCTGGCCAAGGCTGTTCCCGACAGCGATAAGAAGGAGAGCGAGTAAGAAAAGAAAAACCTAATCAGTGTCGTAATTTTTTTCTCGGTGTCCTTGCATTTCGGGTGATAGACTTGGCGGGTTCTGTTTCTTTTTGCATTTACAGGGCTTCTACATTTTAATTCCATTTTGCGTTCTTACATGTTTGAGAAGAATCAAAAGTTGCGCGCCGCATTTTTTTTGAACCCACGATACCTCACCCATAGACTATTTGAGATCAGAACGGGGAAGTCTCTCGCCAGACGCAGAAAGGGAACTGTGGGCGGCGGTAACAGAACAGGCAGAGCAGTTTTGCGCCAGAAAAGCATTTCTCGCATTTTTTTTCATCGCGGTGCCGGATTGTTTCCCCTTCAGCCTTTCCCTTTGCTTGCCCCTCGGTTTTGTTCCAACATCTTCTGATCCTTGTCGAGGGACGCCAACACCAAGCATGGTATATGAGGGCCTTTGTTGATGCTGTCTAGCTACCTCGCGCTCGATTGGATGAAAGCAGAATCGAGACTGCTGATAGGAAAGCATGTGGCAATGAAGGCGATGACGAGGTCGGAGAAGGTGAATGCACAAAAGGTGGTTGAGATTTGTTCGTTTGTCTTTTTATGAGATGATATATGCCCGGGCAGGTTTTCAACTTTGCTGTCATACCAGCGCAGTTGAGTCCATGGGCGGACTTTGGAGATTTCGCTTCCAAGAGGGGGCAAGGAAGGTCAAAAAACCATGAAATTCGCAAGGGGGTCATGCCGTGTTGTTCAGGAAAGCTGGAGCATTCCTTACTTTCCACTAGCTGTTACCGAGCAAAGACTCAGCTACATGGAGAGTTCACCAGTCGCCATAGGTGTCTTCCTGTCGCTTTGCTTAAACTTCTGTAACTCGCTTGCCGAGGGTCGGAGAAACAATGAACGGATGCTTTTTTGTTGGGAATCAGTGGTTGCACCTTTTTTTTTACTGTATATCTAATTTATGGAGCACTTGGGGCTGATTTTCATCAGTTGACGGAAATTCATATTTGTTCATGATCTGTTTGTTTCTACTAAATGCTTTATGTGTCTGAATCACTCATGTGTCATCAATTTTTATGTAGATTAGTATCGCTACGTATCGCCATGAAGCAATAATTCGTTCAACTACTACAGACGGGGAAGGCACTGCCATTTTTAACGACCAACGCCGTTCAAACTCGAAAACTATAGTTATGGTGATGTTGTATTCGTTTCAAAATCAAGCTACGTAAGTAATATAATGAAAAACCCTGGAATGCTCTCCTGTTGCTACAGCCAACTTAATCTTAACCAATGAGTAACGCCCATCTAAAAAAAAGCCTGCTCGTCGTCCGCTATATACAAGTTCTGTTGGGATATTATATCAACAGCGCGTCGTTAAAACCATAAATTAAGTCATTCACCCAACAACGCCTTCATGATATATCCAAATGCAATTATACTCACACTCATAGCTATCCATTGAATACATTTCTGTTGTTGCCAGGCTCTTACGCTGCAGCAAGCAGCTTGTTGAATCCGAGTTTGGCGAAGAGCGTATCCATGGCTACCCACTGTCGGCCGCACTTATCGAGATACTTGTCAACGACGCCCTTGACTGTGCCAAATCTGACGCGGTTATGTTCCGCAAGAGCCAAGATTGTGTCCCTGCCCTGGCGTGAAAGAGTAGAGTTGTTTGTGTCGGTTGCCTTGCTGCGAGCCTTGTCTACGTCCCAGAGGCTCGAAAAATATACGAGTTGGTTGTAAATAGCCTTTTCTGTGTACTCGTAGCGCATACGTCCTAGGCAATCGCGCGCGAGGCCTTTCGGTCCCAGACAACGAGTACCATAGACGCTCATTTGCCTTGTGCGGTTACCACACTGAGAGTCGTCGCAGACAAGCCAACCCTCGTAGTAGCGAGATGTTTGACTGCGAACGGCATGTTCGACTTGGGCAACGACGGACAGAGTTGGGATCACTGCTCCACAACCGCCACAGAGCACGCCGGATGCTGATACTCTATCAGGAGAGACGACAAGACCTTCAAACTTGGTGCTGGCCTTGCACTTGCGGCATCGAAGAGATAACCTTGCGCAGTCGCCGAATCGTACCTCATCGGGGATTTGGGACTCGAGAGGATGGATCTCGAGATCATCGTTGGAGCTGTTCTGCTGGGTTTGGTTTGAGCTATAACGACGGATATCCAAACCAAGTTGCTCCGCAAGTTGTGATGTAGAAGTGCCAACAATATTGGCGCATAGTCGTTCCACAGGCGGGAATATTTGTTTTCCGAGATACCATTCAACATCGGGGACGAGAGTGGAGTCTGACTTGAGATCTGCTGGTGCATAAGCACGCTTGGGGGCTGGTTCAGAACTTGTCCCATCGCCTGTAATGATGTACGATACGACATCACCTTTGCGAATCGTTTTGCCTCTTGCAATGTCGCGAAGAGCAACTTGGACTTGCGGCATAGAATCCGCATTGGGATATTCTGTAGGGCCCTTGCCAAGTTGTGTGTAAATAATATACTTGGCTACAGGGATGCTCTGCTCCCTCATCTTGCCGGCTATATCACGCAGATACTCATGAATGCGCGTGATGGCAACTTCCGCCTCATCGCCTGAAAGAATTTCGTCAAGAAGATGTTTTGAAATTTCCTTGGATAGAGCGCAGTATTCTCGGCGTCTCATATCTAGGCCCTTCACTTCCATCTTCTCGACAAATTTACCATCTTTCTCAATGAGATTGATAGCAGCGTACTTCTTCTTTGCCTGAAGCAAGATACGTCGGAAAACGTTGTCGATATCGATTTCAAGCAACTTGTATTGGTCATTGACGGCTCTCTTGAACTCGTTGCCAACTCTGAAAGCATCAGCAACACTGTCCACATTCGCGTTGATCATGACGGAGTCAGTGTCGCCATAAATGACCTGCAGAGACTTGCTTTCGGCAAGCTCTTTTGTGCTTCGAAGAATCTCACGGCCTTTGTACGTCGTCAGAACAGCCAGTGGCCGGGCGTAGAAACGGGACTTGGTATAGCCCAAGCATCCGTACATCGAGTTGGCCGTGAGCTTCAGAGCAAGCTGCTTGATATCCCAGGTGGCCAGTTGTTCAGGGGTTGCATTTTTGTCCTTCATAAGTGCCTTGACTTGGCGACGACGCCCAACAAGAGTTGCAATAAGTCTCGGTAGTATACCTTGATCTTGATCTGCGGGTACTTCTGGAACCGCATCTTCATCATCAGCCTATTTCGCCTCAGTTAGTCGTGATGCTCATGTAAAAAAATTCTTGGTAATACATGTTATGCCCTTACCAAAGCTGTTCGATCAACTGTTGTGAAGCAAATGTTGAACTCTTGGATAATTGAGGGATATAGAGAATTGAAGTCCATTACAAGAACAAACTTGTCATACAAACCCTTTTCGGGCTCAAAGACCAGACCACCCTTGTATTTGTCCTTCTTTTTCCCCTCTCCGGTAGCCTCTTCCTGGTTCTCATCTTCCCGCTTTTGGCGGCCGCGGAATGACTGCTTGTCCGGGCAAATGTATTTGTTGCGGTGGAACTCGTGAAGCAGAATGTACTCATTACGCTCAGCTCGCGTACCAGTCAATGTTCGGGCCCAAGAGTTACCAGCAAGGTTGGTCAAGACTTTTGTCAGAGGAAGTAGCTGGACACTTAACGCCAACGCAGCAATAAAGTGCGTATCGGCTTCCATGTGCGTGATATAATCCATGAGGCCTTGTTTTTCTTTGGCCCAGCTGCTTAGTGCTGCCTCGTTGTCGACGTCCCTCCGGCGATTATCTCCGGAAAGGTACAGGCTGCACATTTCAGTTAAACTCCAGTTTTGGCACTTGTACATGGCTGACTTTCCGGCGTCATTGGCAAGATCGCACAACAGTCGACCAGCAATGACTTGGCGTTCGGCAAAGACATTACCACCGACTTTGCCAATAGACGCAGGCCACTCACGTCGTCGAAGGCGACCAAGTCTGGACCACTGGTGAATTTTCTTCTCGCGGAGGCGGCTCAGAAGCACACTGTAGTCTACCCCTTCAAACTGATGCCCAAGAATGACATCTGGATCAGCCACGTCAACTTGAGCCAAAAAAAAGCTCAAGATGTCTACTTCCTGCTTCTTTAACACGAGGAGGCCCCTATTCCTCTTTTGGACTAACTGATCAAAGCCGAAAGGGAAGCTTGGTCCGTGGGGGCGAATAACCGTAAATGTTCTGCACGGGAGCTTTTCTGCTGGCGTTGTATCACTCAGTGAGACCTTGTCGTATACTCTTGCGCTAATGGCAAGAATCTCTTGCTTATTCTCTTTTGCATTAAATGCGGTTCGGATAGCAACACTCATGAGGGTCAGTGGTGGCGCGTCGAGATTATCGGACTCGCTCATGGTTGACACCATGTTTGGGTGTTCAGCTAATACTTCCAGTTTGCAATGTGAGGCATTATGGATGGCACCGAAGTCAGCATCCTGAATCTTTAGCCAACAAGGGCCCATGATGTTCTTCCAAAGTACAAATTGCTCGAATAGGGCTGTGTTGGCACCAAATACATGCGAGTATGTCTCGCCTGCGGCAGCATCAATTTGTGGTCCTGGGAATAGTGTGTTAACTCGCAATCTCTCCATTGAACCTGAGTTCCGCTCGTGGTTCGAGTCATTACTTACTAGTATATGGATAGAATAGCTTCATGTACTGGGCCTCTTTTGGGACATTTGGGAGTTCGAAGGCGTATTTACGGGTGCATGCTTTGATCTTGTACATGTCCACCTTCAACTTTGTCATGATCTCGTCAATTTCTTCATAAACGCTCGCCATTTCAACAGTCTCTTCAATGCTGTCGCCATCTCGAACACGTTGTTGCCGAGGTAAGAAATACAATTTCCTCAGGATGTTGTCGATTTTGACGAAGCAACTAACGTAAGATTTGGTCTTTTTGTTCAGAACCTTGCCGAAAAGACAGAGGCTGCCATTAATTTCAGTGTAGTCCGTCCAGAAAAAGTTGAGGCTACCGTCTGCTTCAATGGCATCTTTGTAATCGATTTTACCAATGCTCCGGGTCTCCGTTGAGCTGCTGACTACGTTGAGCTTGTTGGTCAAGTTATTCCAGGAACTAGAATCGACAGCGTCACCAGAAACCTGCTTTAAGGGTGAAGAACTAGTCGGAGAAGGGTACGGATCTTGTTTCAAGAGCTTCTTGACTTGGCGAGATCCAGCGATGTTTACACTCGCAGAATGAACGGCTCCTGCATGGGCCACTTCCATCATATCATCGTCTTCATCATCCTGGGAGTCGGACTTTATCTGAGCCCGTCTCTCTGCTTTCTTGGCTGCAGGCGACGACGGAGCCGGGTCGCTCATGGGTCCGTCTTGAAACCCCAGAACACCGTCATCTGCGGCATCAGGGGCGAGCCCATCGTCTGAATCGATACTAGCGACAGGCGGTGACAGTAGACGAGTATCAGTTCGCTTTTGTCTCTTTTGAATGGGTTCGACAACCGGTGATAAGGCTCTGGATTTACGACGGCCACCAGACCTCTCAATCTTCGCTGACCGAGGGGAAGGTGAGGGAATATTAGTGTCCACCTCCTTGATAAGGTCGGCTAAAAAGTTGTCGTCGTCCTTGGTCTTGGCGACCTGCAATTTTCACAGTTAGTCCACCAAAGATTTGCACCGGAGTATGCCTGGAGGGTGCAACGAGCTAGCTCACTTTAGATTTGGGCTGAGTTTTCCCGGCGCCCTTGGTGAAGTATTCGCTGATGTTGCGGTCATTTGCATCGCGCTTGGCCTGGCTGTCGCCCTTGTTATTCTTGGCTGGGGAGCAGTGAGTCAGCGGAATGTATGGGCAAGCCAAAACGCAATGGGACGGAGCAAGATAACAAACCTGCTTTGTTGGATCTGCCACGAACAGGCAGCTCGTCGACATCGTTGGCTGAGTCGTAGCGGTGGACACGATCCCAATCTTCACGACCGTCATCGGCGTAGCCTTCCCCGTTGTCGTCAACCACGAAGTCATCCTCGTTGAGGCGGTCTCGAACGATTTTCTTGTAGCCGTCCTCGTCAACTTCGTCATAGAGGTCTGCTGCGTCCTCGACGCGGTAGCTGTCGAAGGTCTTCTTGCCTGATTGGCGAAGGGCATAAAGCTCAGCGAGCTTTGCCCGGTAATTAACCTTGGGCATGGCGAGCTGGCTGTGAATTAATGACGATTATCATTCAAAACAGGAGCCAAGCTTGCACATCTGATGATTATGTGACGATGAAACGGTAGAATAATGAAAGATAGCGGATGTTCGTGGCGGTGAAAAGTTAAGCATGGACTGTTAGCAGGGACGACGTCTGTCATACGAAGGTACTCGATTGCTGATGTTCTACCAGTCCAGAGTCGCGTCTTGTACCGTGTCGCGACCGCGAGACGCGTCTCAATTGAAAGTACTCCGTACTCCAGCCCCTAGGTTTGTTAAAGTGGTAATAGTGGGTCGGACATTCGACTGTGTGCATTTAACTGTTTGGCATTTCAAAGACTGGGGTATGCAACTAGCCGGCTTGCCAACCTGCCAAACTGCTGCCCAATTGGCCCAGCTGAGGCAGGTGCAATTCTCCTGTGCGAGGTAGGAAGGCGAGGTGGGAATCACTTCACCACCCTCACACCAGGCATCACTGGTATTACTTGTCAAGTACCTAAGTACTTTTTGATTCATTCGCTTCACTTTGATAAAGATTGGTGACTTCGCGAGCCTGACCTTTTCGCTGCGTCCGCGCCCCTATCTCTCTCGTCTTTCCCACGTCGGATGCCTTCGTACAAGAAACCCTTATGCGACATTCTTTGATCATGTATGCCGAGCATGTTCAGATGTAGAGTTCTTGCAGATTGTGTCCGTTGTCTCTTGCCTCACATTATTCCCGCACCTTTTTTTTGTGTTGCGGAAACATGTCGACAACATCTCCTTCCTTCCTTCGTCGCCGCTGGCCTCGTAGGGACATCCGGTCGACTGTTTTCGGGCTCTTGTTTGGTTTCTGTAGCATCCATGTCCCGTTGCTGTGCATTTGCATCTCTAATGTATTTGCAGGTTCTACCGTATCTCCATCTCCATAGACAACTGTCTTCCCTCTACCTCCAGGCTTTATCACACATCTTGCAAAAACCACATTCTACTCGAATTGGATTGACCTGCTCTCTGATTCCTTGCTGTACCGGTTCATAAATATTGGCTTCAGCTTTCGCAGACTACTATTCCAACATGTTGTTCTCCAAACAGCGTTCCAAAACAGAGGCTCCTCGGGAGAAGGCTTCCAATGTAAATCGAGTTGTCAGCTAGAAGCTGTGGAACAATCGATCCCAACAGCAGTCAAGTGAGGGCCATGGGGGTCAGGAGTCCCAGCACAAACCATCAAAAGCTACACCCCGTCGGTGGTTTTCAACTTTTCGTCCCAAGACACAACTTCGCAAGGAAAGTCTTGCGTCGCGTTCAAGTCACGGTGGCTCGAATAATCAAAACGATGCTGAGCTCAATGAGAAACGACGTACGCTCATACTACCTACCCCTCCATTACACGCTCACGACGTCCTGTTGTTCTCAATACTAACGTGTCGCCATGCAGGCCGCTCTGTTAATGTGAATCACCGGAGAAGCCTCAGCAATGTCTTCAAGACAGTCAAAGCTAAATACTCTCGCGATAAGCTAGACAAAAACGAACCTGACAGCCGTGAAACAGAGGTGACGGAAGCCTTAGAATCAGCTTCACCAATTACCAAGGAGCTCATCACACCCAAATTGGAGCCGAGACAAGTCTCGCCTCCTCCTCGTCTAGATGTCTTATCTGATTATTCTTCTCATGACTCGTCGGCAGAGCCCTCTACGTTTCGTGCAGGTCTGGAAAAAGCAGTTGCTGACATCAACATTAAGTACGAAACGCCATCCAACTCGCACTTGATGGAGAGTATGACAGATACAGGAGTCAAAAGACTGACGAACGCTACTTCACTACCATTCTATGCCAGAGGTTCTTTCCGTCCTCGGTATCAGCTGCCTACGTTTGTGGATGCTCCTGTCAAGACTGCACAATCTACAGCAGGAGAACTGCAGCTACTCTCACCAAGAGTGTCGACAGAGTCTGTCCGAATAGGCACAAAGGGTGTTAAAGGCGCCGATGAAGGAGGTTGCCATTTGCCCACTCTTTTGCTCGATGGAGTCTTGGGCCCAAGCTTCGATTTTGGAGAATTTATGACACCGCAACAAACGGCCGAGCCAACTGTCTCCAGTGAAATAGGAGACTGCCTTGCAAAAGATTCGGCTTCATCTGAAAACTCGATAGGGACCGTCGTTTGCGAACACGACGCAAACAATAATATTGAGCTCGAGACAGATTCAAATGCTAAGCAACTCGACCCAGGCACAGCGGCCTCAACGGCCTCAACGGCCTCCAAAGACAGCCTGGTACCCTCAGTCGCATTGACAACTGCAACCAACAAAGATGATGTGGCGTCTCCCCCTGCCGAACAAGTATGCCAACACCGTCGCTGCCGCTCCAACAGTGATCAACCATTACGCAGCTTCTCCGGGTCCAACTTCGGGAGTTTTGATCATCAGAGTCTAATATCGGAGATTTCCAGTACTGAAGTCAGGCGTCTTCGTTCCAAGAGCACCTCTGATAACTCAGAGAGTTATTCCGAAATTATTTTGAACCCCCGCCAGGCTTCTGGGAGCAGTCAAGTTTCCGTGTCTCACGAGGAGAACATTCCTTCCGTCTCTGAGCTAGTCAGCAAGTTTCGGCGCATGGGGTCACTGCCTGGCAAATTTCCCACGAATTCGGCTTTGGAGAACCCCAATCCACATCCAGCATTGAGGAAAGTATCACGAGGAAAACAATTTGAAACATATCGGAGTCGTTTTTCAAACGACTCGGAAGGGGACTCGGGGCTAATGTCCAGTGCCGAAGAACCAACTGACTGCTTACAGCTGGTTATCCCTAAAACCGGGGTACGGGATCACAATCTTCTGACCTCCGAGGACGCGGGATCTGAAAAAACGGACGAATGATGATAAACGATAACATTATTGTTAAGGATACTCAATGGTATCTGTGGCGCAGCATAGGCACAGCAGATTATTAGACATTCGCCAACCCTGTCTTGCAGCAGGCAAAAATTTTGGAAGGCCAATAATGATGAAGAGTAGTATTTCATTACATGTAGCTTTCAAATCAACCTGAAGCACGGTCATCTCCAACCCCGTGTCATCCAGTGCAGAGATGACTTTTGTGTAAACGCCGCCCAAGTGGTAGTGTACAAGCTTTGCTGAGCGTAATGTACTATACTATAGCTAGGATATTTCCTCCCCAGGGTTCCGTCCAACTTTTCCTCTCGAGCCTCAACGGCGCTCCTTTCGTAACGAGACAGGATCTCCAGATTTTGTTGTGTCCCAAACAAAGTCCCCTCCCCCTGGTCTGTGAGTAGCATCCTCGACCCCAACTGGGACTTCATGCTCAACACTTGACGAATGTCGCAGTTTGGGCTCTGCTTTCTCGCGACCAGTGTAGAAGGCTTGGATTTCCCGGTTTATCTTGGCTCCAACGACACGCAGCTCACGCAAGTCCTTCTCGGGAAGCATACTTTCGTTGATTACCTTATTAAAAGCGGAGAACATGAGCCGCGCCAAGGCAATTACCTCTCGCTTGTCATTATACAAAATGCCCTTGCCCTCTTGGGTGGCGGGCGTAGGAGTAGCCTTGAAATAGTGATAGTGAACCTTCTTATAGGGTTCCCAGAGATTAGCGAGAGCCGTGGTAATTTGCACGCCGTATTCCCGCCTGGCGCCTGCTTCGTCACCATTTTGGGCGCGGGTTCGGAAATGATAGTGACTGACGAGCGCGACTCTCAGGTAGAGGCGAAGGGTATGGATGTCCGGGACGTCGAGGCGGGACATCATGGAGTTGAGGATGACAGTGGAGTTCTCAATGGCGTTCTGGTTGATGTTGTCGCGGACACAGGTCTCCATTGCGATGCGGTACGGCTTTGGGTCGACGAATTCTTTGGGGAGGATTTCGAGGATGGATGCCGCGTGGGCACTGGCCTTGGCTACCTTGAGCATGCCAAACATGCGGAGCCAGTTGTCGTTGTCGGGGACGATGCCGTAGTGACGGATCATGAGGTTCCAGTATTTGATGCCCACTGTTGTGAGCTTTGAGGATGCGAGGGTGGTCAGGAGCAGGGCAAGGGTGTTGCGGCCGGGGATGGCGTAGACGGCCTTTGACGAAGTGGAGGCCTTGGAGAGCCCGTTGATGGCGACATTTTGCATGTCGGCATCTTGAAAGGGGTCTGAAGCAAGGGCCTTGGTGAGGTTGGGAATATTCATGGTCTGCTGCAAGAGATCCAGGACAAGCCGCCTGTCCTCGCGCTTTGGCGCAAGCAACAACACGCGACCCATGGAGCAGACGAGCTCTTCGTCGATGACGAGTCGGCCCTGCTTCCACTTGTCCATGACCTCGATCCAAAGACCGTTTGCTCGGTCCACGACTTTTTGCAAATTCGTGGATTGTTGCTGTTGAGGCAGCTCCTTGCTATCCCTCCAGGCACTATGGCGCAGGGCGTTCAAGATGGTGGTGTATGTGTAGGCTGTTGGTGCTCGTGTGGAATCGTTAACGGTGTCGGCGATTAGAAACATGGAATCGAGGTCTCCTGCCCTGGCGCACACATTCAGTACAGCATTGAGGTGTATCGAGTTTGGCTGGATACGCTTGTCGGCCATGAGGATATTGTAGTGCTTTACAGCTTCGGCGACTGCGGCTTTGGGGTGCTGTGACCTAGCGCAGCCTCGGAAGATGACAGTGAATGTCTGGACGTTGGGCAGTTGGCCGCGTTTCTTCATCTATTTACAAAACTCGTGTCAGTTATACTAGGGTGCTGGAGGTGTATGTCAGGGGTTGGACAGAGCACACGAACCTCATTGAATAGCTTGATTGCTTTCTTTAGATGCTGACGCTCGAGCTGATAATCGATGAGATGGTTCCAGGCAACGACGACCTGACGATCCTTGCTCGCCCTTTGCGTCAAGAGCAGCGCTTCGTCAAACCGATCCTTTGCGAGCGTCTGGCCGACATGCTGTGCAATCTTCCACGGGTCGTCCATGTAGTCCAGGTGCTTGTTGACGGCACGCTGCAGCTTCTCGCGCTGCCTCTTTTCGGCAACTGCAGCTGAATTCTCTCCATCCGGTACTTGTAGAGTCCTCGGTGCGTCGACAGGCGCGGGGGCCGCAGGCGGCGATTCCGTCGTATAGCTTCTGCGTTGTTGGCTTAGATGCGCAGCTGCTCTGGCAGCAGAGGCTTCCGCAGGGCCTCTTCTCGCAGCCAGTTGAATTGTCCTGAACAGACATGCTCGACAGGAAAGAAAGCTTCCTGCCATCGTGAACAGGCCCGACCAAAGGAAAACCGTCTGATTGAGTACACCTTGTTCCTGCAGGAGGTGGTTGATGGCGAAAACAATTTATGGTACGATAGCCGCTCAGGGGACATTCATCGACTGGCAGGGAAAAAAATGTCAGGGTCCAAGATCTTATCAGTGACCAACACAATTGTGGCGCCAGGACTAGTGCTAGTTGACGTCTGCATAAGTAGTGCCAGGTACCTCGTACTGGTACGGAGTTTTCTCAGCATTGATCAATGAAACTTTGTGCTTCGGGAGACTGTTTGTCGCCACATTGATTGGCTGTCGCGTCTCTCTGCTACAGGCCCTCCGGCGTAGAGCCCTGGAAACATCGCCCGCTCTCATCCATCATCAACTCAGCCTCGTCTTCTTCCTCACTCCCGTCCAGCATTTCTAGATTGCCACCATATATCCCGGCCTTTCCTTCCTCCATCATATATATCCCAGGCTTGGCCGTGCTGTGCCATATACTGCGCATTGGTCACAATGGCGTCCACCGCGTCAGACTTTCAAAAGCTCATCTCCGATGGTAATGCAGCCTGCATCAGTCGCAGCCCTTTGATTCCCCCTCTTGCTAACGGGCGGCCACACAGCGCGGGAACGGAAGAAGAACTCAGCTCTTGCCGATCGAATCTTTAGTCGCGATCGCCGTCAAAGTGCGCCGTCAAAACTCAAGCCCACGCCCGGCGGCTCCCTTGCGAGCCGCGTCGGAGTGAAGAAGGTAGTCATTTTTTAAACACCCGCGATGCATGTCACCATGGCCGCGAAAATTTGAAACCAACTCTTGCTGATGCACCTTTCTTTCACGGTGTAGCAACGCACCCCTGCTGCCGCCGCCGCCGCTGCTGCTTCCAATACTCGCAGAGCTAGTTTGCCCGCTGGCAACGTCAATGGCGAATGGACACACGACCTCCACGACTCTGTCAACGGCGTACCAGCCAAAGGCGGTTCCTTGAGCTCCCGCATCACTGTTCCCGGCGCCAAGAACGGCAATACCGCCACCAAGAGAGCTTCCAGTCGCAAAGCCAAGCTTGCCGCTGCTGTTGACAAGATGGACACCGACCAAGTCAACGTCGTCACTCCCTCGTTCCAAGCCACGTCCGGCATGGGCCTCACCATCCGCGGTCTCGCCGGTCCGTATGCTCTCCTGGGCCAGAATTTTGCTCCCGGGACAACTGCAGCTGATATCGAGAGTGCCATGACGCCTGTAGGCGGCGAAATGGTCAGCTGTAAGATTGTCAAGACGAAGCCTTTTCTCATTGCCGAGATGGTGTTTGTTTCCCGAGAAGGTGGCGAGAGGGTCATTGAGACGTTCAACAATAAAACGGTGCGTGGTTTCCGTTCCTTTTTTCCATTACATGCACCCCGTCGCTCGGCACATCCGTCCCTACCAGTCAAAGCTAACAAGTGACTGCCCCAGGCCGACGGAAGAGTCATTCAAATCTACCCCAAGGTCGGCGGTCATCAGAGCTCCACCACAGCCAACGAACCACCCGCCAACGCACCCAGCGGACCGAAATCGTCAAAGGTCTCGACACGAGACCAGGTGGTAGATGGATCCATGGGCTTCCCCGATCCCATGGACACAAATGGAAGCACCAATTGGGCGGGCAACAACCGACTCTACAGCGACAGAATGGTGGCCGGTAACAAGAGGGGCAGGGGATTCCAAAGAGGCAGAGGGCGGTAGTGGTCCCTCATGGCCTCCAGTTAGATCGTTTCTCCTTCACCACATGTAATTATTAGGGCGTCCGGGGGTGCAAAACCAGGAGTATGGGCGTTTGGGGGCAATTCTCGATACAATATCTGCCGGCGGCAGCAGCAGCCCCCGAGTATCAACAAAAAGGTCATCATATTGTACAGTACTTTAGTATCATCTTTATAGCAAGGCTCGGGAACTCAATCAACGCATTGCACTCGTTCAACATGGCTAAAAAGCATTCTTTGTTGAAGTATTCTTCGTCACCCTCTCAGACAAGATTCCGTCGTCTCTCTTGTTCCGCAAACCCGCGTCATCCCATCATACAATATCACGATTTCCACCCCCATTGATGTAGATACTAAAAACACAAAAGGAAAAAAAGAGACAAGGTAAGATAGTTGGAAAGAACCAACCTCATTGCCAGAACCACCCTCGGGAGCATTCTTTTGTTATGCAAACGTCCACTCCTTGTTTCGAGCCCAGTCATCTCATCCTTGCACACGGGGGGTAAAGGCCGGAGTAGGGGAAGAAAAAGAGATGGAATCGTACGAGACACACGACATGAGACGTGGGAAACACATAATAGTCGTATCTACAAAGAATTCCTTGTTTCTTTTTCTCTGCTTTCATCCCCCCAATGCTACTGCGTGCAGAACAAATAAAAAAAAAAGTAACCCATCCATCCTGAACCGCCGTCCATATGCGTCTGCGTCTATTTCAATCTTATGCCGTGTGAGCAACACCCCACACTGGCCTAAGCTCTTTCCCGTGTCAAACAACCCAAAAAGTGAACAGAAAATGAAAAAAAAAGGGAGGGGGGAAGAGGGTATGTCCGGCTTCAGCCTAGGTCCTGAGAGCAGTAAGAACGTCGACGAGGCCCAAGCAATGGAGGAAAATGGTTGCCCGTCAGGAACAAA